CCTGGAGAACCCCTCGAAGACCCTCCGGAGAACCCGGAGAACCCGGAGAACCTGGAGAACCCCGAGAACCCTTGGAGACCCCACTTCTCAGGCGGGGCCACTTAGGCACTCATACTCTAGCTTAGTAATTAGTTAGGCCTCGCAGTTACAAGTCCAATTGCAAGTGACTTATAAGTGATCTAACTGAAAGCTAACTGACGCAGCCGTTTTACAAAACCGTATGTCCATCGTAGGATTTTCATTGTCCGAAAACCTAACTGAAAGCTAAGTGAAACAGGCGTTTTCGCTGGAGGCATCCGTCACACGCGGTATGTTGTGAGGTCGCCGAATGCGGCCCTTCGACACGCTATATTCGCTTTGATGAATGACTGCCCTTGCCGCCCTCATTTTCCTCCGCCCCCGCCTCCTCCGCACCGTAGCCGCTTTGGGTTTATAGAGAGTTTTGAGATGGAGCCAACCACAAAAAAAAACGTAGAATTGAGATTGGCTACCGCACGTCATTTGCAGGTGCCGCCCAGATCGTTGCTCAACTTGGCGACGGCCGCACAACTGAGGCAGCGCGCCACGAGCTACGACAAGAGTTGTTACGCACTCTAGACGTCGTCACGCCCGTGGGGTCCATCCTGCAGAGATCAACCCTGAACCTTGCATCAGGCGAAGTATTTGTGTTGGACCACGTGCGGCCTCAGGCGCTGTTGTACACCCTGTGCGCTCAATCGGCGCACTTTGCAGCTTTTTTCAAGAGATGTTTGCAAGAATCCAATTCGGGCTCTGGGTTCTTGCTCTACACAGACGAGACGACGTGTGGAAACCAGCTCCGACCAGACTCGCGGAGGAAATGTCAGGCTATGTATTTCACGCATTCAGCTTTTCCGACATGGTTTCGGTCTCGCCAAGATGGTTGGTTCGTCTGGGCGTATGTGCCCTGTGAGATTCAGGGCGATCTCGACGGAGGACTTTCGACGCTATTCAAACTGATGTTATCTGATTTTTTCAAATCGGACCATAATTTCATGGATGGCATCATGCTTCCGTGCGGGAACGAGTGGTTCCCTCTGAAATGTGGTATCTTCGCCGTCATCCAGGACGAGAAGGCGCACAAAGAAATTGCTTCTCTCAAAGGGGCTTCGGGACTTCGACCATGCATCAGATGCAAAAATATAGTGCGGCGGACTAGCGCGCAAGATTTGGGACCATACCTGCGGGATGCCGACATTTCAGGCCCCGACGCATTCGACGAGCACACGTCTGCATCATTTTGGGAAACTGTAGATATCATATTAGCTGCACGAGACGACAGCGATCTTCTCAGACAGTCATTCGTGGATCTACAGCAGGTCGCTGGGTTGTCATACAACGCACATTCGGCCATATGGGACCGAAGTTTCAGGTTGATCTACGACCCGATCAATCACAACGTGGAGGACTGGATGCACGTATTCTGCGCTTCTGGAGGGGTTGGCCAATACGAAATCGCAAGTTTTGCCGATGCATTCACCAGCCACTCTGGGCTAAGTTCGGCAGACTTGGACGCCTTCGCGTCCAAAGTTTCGTTCCCTAGCAACTCTTCGCGTTTTCCGCCTCGTTTCTTCCAGTCCAGGATGCCTGACGAATCTGGGGGGCATTGTAAATGTTTCGCGTCAGAAACGGTCATGGCGGTGCAAGTGCTCGCACTATTCGTCCTCATGGTGGCACAACCCCATGGGAGCCTTCCACAGCATTGCCGTTCTATATTGCTGTTGAACCAGATACTCACTATTTTCTGCATGCAGGACGACGCCGTGCATCACACGGCTGTGTTGGGCTACGCGCTGGCGCAGCATCATGCGATTTACCTCCGCATATATGGCAAGAGTTTGTGCAAGCCGAAGATTCATTACGCCTACCATTGCAAGGAAGCGCTTGCCCGTATTCGCAAGAACCTTAGTTGTTTCACGATGGAGCGGAAGCACCGCGAGGCGAAGAGCGTCGCCCTCCATTGTGGTAGGTCCGACAAATGGACCAGCCACATGTTGTTTCGAACAACGGCGCAGCGATTGAGTAGAGTTGACCAGTCAGAGCTGTTCCATGCGGAACACCTCGTGGCCCCGACGGCGGCGCCGCTTCAAATTGCGTTAGCCAGGATGTTCCCAGGAGTAGGGCCTGCAACCTTCAAGGCGGCAGCGTGCCAGACTGGCCAGGGATCGTTTAAGGCAGGGGACCTCATCGTGTGCGAGAGTGCAGGCCGCCGCGCCTTTGGAGTGTGCGATTACTTCGGTGGCGGGTCTCTCAAAGATTCTGGTCGGGCAGTGCGCGCCGTTTGTTTTCAAACATGTGAAGAAATGCCGAATGGTGCGCTGGAGAAGCGCAAGTCTTGGGCGTGGGCCCCAGTCGAGGCCGTGCGCTCCGCGGTCCCATTCGTGGACCTACAGCCAGGCATGCGGCCGTTGTTGCCTGCCTTGCAGCGGATATGACCTAACATTGGCGGTCGGTTTCGAAGCGATCTCGGAAATCGGGCTGG